GTGGTAGCTATAGGAAGCATAATAAACAACATTTCACAGTCTACTTAGAGCAGTGGTTCTCAACCTTCCTAATGCCGCGGACCTTTAATATAGTTCCTGTGGGTCGCGACCCATAGGTTGAGAACCACTGACTTAGAGTCAGTATTTTACCATTTAAAGTGAAATGTGGAAACCTAACTACCATTGAAATGCCTTTATTTTTTCCCCTTTATATTATTGTCTGGTGTGTATTTTATAAATCGAAGGTTTGTGGAAACCTGGTTAACAGCATGTGCTCACTTCCTGTCTCTGTATCACATTTTGGTAGTTTTTCAGTACTTCATATTTTTTCATTATTATATCTGTTATGTGATTAGTAATCTTTGATGTTATCTATTGTAATTGTTTTGGGGTACTACAGAGTGTGCCCATATAATACTGTGAGGTTTTTTTTTTTTTTTTTTTGAGACGGAGCCTCAAGCTGTCCCCCTGGGTAGAGTGCCATGGCATCACGCTCACAGCAACCTCCAACTCCTGGGCTCAAGTGAGTCTCCTGCCTCAGCCACCCAAGTAGCTGGGACTACAGGCGCCTGCCACAACGCCCAGCCTTTTTTTGGTTGCAGCCATCATTGTTGTTTGGCGGGCCTGGGCTGGGGATTCAAACCCGCCACCTTAGGTGTATGTGGCTGGCGCCTTAGCCGCTTGAGCCACAGGCTCCGAGCCAATACTGTGAGTTTAATCGATGAAGCTGCTTGTCTTCTGACTGCTCTACCAGTTGGCCATTCCTCTTACCTCTCTCCCTCACTTCAGGTCTCCCAATCCCCTTAGATACAACAGTATTGAACTTAGGCCAGTTATTAACCCTACAATGTCCTCTTAGTGTTCAAGCGAAAGGAAGAGTTGCATGTCTCTTAGTTTAAGTCAAAAGCTAGAAATGATTAAACTTAGTGAGGAAGGCATGTCAAAAGCTGAGACAGGCTGAAAACTAAGCTGCTGGTTTTTTTTTTGGCTGGGGCTGGGCTTGAACCCACCACCTCTAGTATATGGGGCTGGCGCCCTACTCCCTCAGCCACCAGCACCACCCGAAACTAAGCTTCTTGTATAAGTCAGCTGAGTTATGAATGCAAAGAAAAAGTTCTTGAAGGAAATTAAAAGTGCTACTATAATGAACACATGAATGATAAATAAGTGATTATTGCCAGTAGGGAGAAAGGTTGAGTCTCTAGACAGAAGGTCAAACCAGCCATAACATTTCCTTAAGTCAAAACCTAACCCAGAGAAAGGATTTATGTATATTTACTGCGTGGCCCAAGACAACTCTCATTCTTTCATTATGCATCAGAAAAGAAAAAAGGTTGGATACCCCCAGACACTGAACAACAATTTTCAGTGTTGAAGAAACAGCCCTCTATTGGAAGAAGATGCCATCTAGAATTTTAATAGCTAGAGAGGAGATGTTGAATATCTGGCTTAAAAGGTTAGGCTGTCTGTCTTGTTAGGTGTTAATGCAGCTGGTAACTTTAAGTGGAAACCAATGCTCACTGACCAGTTGTGAAAACCCTAGGCCCCTGAAGAATTATGCTAAATTTACTCTGCCTGTGCTTTATAAATGA